CCGACTTAGAGCACCCCTAATTTATTTTCTGGGAAAATGCACCCCGTGGAACATCCTTGCCTTGCTGCCACCCTCTTCCCAAGGCACCGTCTCCTTGGCTGGCCCCTTGGAAGCAATAAATAATGCGGGGGGGTCCCAGCAGTGGGGGGGTGGCTGGAGAAGGACACGGAGTGCAGAGTCCAGCAGGGGTCCGAGGACACCCCGGGGTCAAAGTCGGGCCGTCCCGTTGGGGAGCTGGCCAGAGCTGTGGTCCTTGCGTGTGGGCAGGGGGGATGCAGGGGGCTCATCCTCCTCGGGGGACGGGTCTGTCTCAGTGTCAGAGGCTTCTCCCGAGCCGTGATGGCCGTTCTCGGGGCTGTAGAAGAAGGAGAGGGTGCGGAAAGCGGGTGCCATGTGGTCCTTAATGCGCTCCAGCAGCTGGACGAAGGAKGGGCGCTGGCGCGGGTTCTGCTGCCAGCACAGGCACATCAGCTCGTGGCTGCAGGAGAGATGGCACCTGCTGGCTTTGGGGGGCTCCAGCCCCGGCCAGAGACCAGGGTTCCCCCGGCCAGCCTTTCCCCGAGCAGGGTGGGACCATGAGGGGATGTCCCCCAGCACTCACAGCTCGTCAGGGCAGTTTTCGGGCCGCTCCAGGATGCCGTTGTCCATGACAAAGCGCAGGACCTGCTCGTTGGACATGCCCTGGTAGGGCTGCTCAGCCAGGGTGGCGATCTCCCACAGCACCACGCCAAAGGACCTGCCAGAGCACCGCCGCTCAGCCCAGGGGATCCCCAAAATCCCCACCGGGCTCCCCCCACCGCAGCACCTACCACACGTCAGACTGCGTGTTGAAGATGCCGTCCTTGAGCGCCTCGGGGGACATCCAGCGCACGGGGAGCAGCCCCTTGCCCCCTTTCCGGTAATAATCCGTCTCGTAGATATCCCGGGTCATGCCGAAATCTGTCAGAAGAGGAAGAGACGGAAGGTGTGAGGAGCAGGAGGGAGACAGGGCTGGTCCAACCCGCCCGCCGCCCGCCCACCTCCAATCTTGACGGTGAAGTCCTCGGACACCATGCAGTTGCGGGCAGCCAGGTCCCGGTGCACRAATTTGTTGGCGTTGAGGTACGCCATGCCATCGGCGATCTCGCCGGCCATCTGGATCATGTCCTTGAGCGATGGTGGYGGCAGCCCGGGGTTGTTCTGCACCGTGCACAGAGTCAGGGCTGGGGCAGGGACACAGCAGGATGTCCCCAGAATGGGCTGGGTGTCCTTTTCCAGCCCCTCACCTCAGCTTCGGGCCGTAGCGATCGCAGGTAGCTCTTGAGGTCTCCACGTGTCATCAGCTCCATGATGACCAAAGCTGGCTGGCCCTGGGACACAACGCCGAGCAGACGGACCTGCAGGGACAAAGAGGGCTGGCATGTGAGTGGCCAGATGGCCCACGTCCCCTCCCTCCCCCTCAGCTGCCCCACCTACCACGTGGTGGCACTTGAAGGCTTTCATGACAGAGGCCTCGTTGAGGAACTCGATGCGCTCCCGCATGGTGGCCAGCTCGTTGACTGTCTTCAGGGCCACCTTGGTCTCCTCTCCCTCCGTGACCAGCCCCAGCGCCACCCCCTCATACACCATCCCAAAGGAGCCCTGTCCCAGCTCCCGGATCACTGTGATCTTCTCTCGGGACACCTCCCACTCATCAGGCATGTACACTGTGGGKTGAGCGGGGATCACCCCATCCCCATCACTGTAATTAACCCCATCTGCATCCCCACCCTCATCTTCATCCCATCCCCATCCACGTCTTCATCTCCATGCTGTCACTGTCCTACTCTCTATCCCCAACCCCATCTCCATCTCATCACCATCCTCACTGCATCCCATTCCTATCCTCATTCCTGTCCCTATCTCCACCTCCATCCCATTCCCACCCTCATCTCCATCCCATCCCATCCCATCCCATCCCATCCCATC